CTCCTGACTTCTGATCCACAATTCATACTTTGTCCCTTCCTAGTTTTTTTTTTTCCTTTTTGTTATTCCATTAATTAACCGATTCTTGTCTAGTTTTTTCTTTTATCAATTTTGGATGGGCTTTTTTTTGTAAACTATTCTCCCTACTCTTTAGTTGTGTAAAGAGTAAATTAGAGCTTTTGAAGGGGATAAATAAACCGGCTTGGTTAAACGACTCCCAAAAAGTGGAGAGCCGACTCCCAAGCCCCGGATTCCCCAAAAAAAGGGAGTCGAACCCCCAAAACCTTTGATTGGTTTGGGAGTCAACTCCCTAGAAAAAATAATAATAAAAAATCAAAATCCCCGGTTGGTTTGGGAGTCGGCCTCCCAAGTTGACCAGGGTTTGGGGGTCGATGACCCAAAATACCCAGGGCAGCGGCCGGGAGGAATCCTCCCGGCCGCTGATCAGGTACACTCAACGGCCGGGAGCTGACCCCTTGGTCGTGAGAGTGCACACACCTCAGCGGCCGAGACAATTCCTCTCGGCCATTGAGGCTATACACTCTCAACGGCCGAGACAATTCCTCTCGGCTGTTGAGGGTACACACTCTCAACAGCCGATGGAAACCGTCTCGGCCGTTGAGGTGTACACACCTCAATGGTCCAGGGTACACTCAACAGCCGTTGAGGTGTACACTCAGAGAAACTCGGCTGCTGAGTGCACACCTCAACGGCCAAGAGCTGCATCCCGGCTGTGGATAGTGTACACCTCGAGTGGTTTCCCTCGGCCGGTGAGAGTGTATATCCTCAACGGCCAAGAGGAATTGTCTCAACAGCCGAGATGGTTTCCATCGGCCGTTGAGAGTGTGTACCCTCAACACCAAGGGGAACCGTCTCGGTTGCTGAGGTGTGTACACCTCAACGGCTGAGGGCAGTTTCCATTGGCCGTTGAGAGTGTATATGTACCCTTGATTAGAGATGGCAACAGGTACCCGGTACCTGTTTTGCTGAGCGGGTACCCGCCCGCGGGTGCTGGGTGCGGGTGCGGGTGTCGAGTTTTGGGACAAAAAACGGCGGGTACCCGGGTACCCACCTTGACACCTGCCTTGCAAATGCGGTTTTGGGAGGGTTGGGATGCATTCGAGACTGTACACTGTCTCAATGGCCGGAGGGATTCCTCCGGTCATTGAGACTGTACAGTCTCAACAACATTGGTTGTTGCCTCATCGACCGGAAGGAATCCTTTCCGGTCGATGAGGTTGTTATACCTCATCGATCAGAAGGATTTCCTTCAGATCAATGAGGTACAACAACCTCATCGACTGGAAGGAATCCCTTCCCTTCCGGTTGATGAGGTTGTTATACCTCATCGACCAGAAGGATTTCCTTCAGATCGATGAGGTATAAGAACCCCATTGACCGGAAGGAATTCCTTCTGATCGATGAGGTGGAACAGCCTCATCGACCGGAAGGAATGCCTTCCGGCCGATGAGGCCCATAGACCCCTCCACACCCGCAGGTACCCGGCCCGGGTACCCGCCCTGGCAGACCTGGCGGGTGCGGGTGTCCAAAAAAAGTGTTTTTTGAGGCGGGTACCCGCACCCGCTGCGGGTACCCGGGTTCGAAGTGACATCTCTACCCTTGATCCTCTTGGCCATTGAGAATTTGAGGTGTACACTCTCATGGCCGAGGGGTCAACTCCCAGCCCTTGAGAGTGTACCTCAGCGGCCGGGAGGAATTTTCCCGGCCGCTGCCCTGGGTATTTGACCGGGGATTTTTATTTTTTATTATTATTTTTCTTACGGAGTCGACTCCCAAACCAATCAAATGTTTTGGGGGTTTGACTCCCAAAATTCGGGGATTGCGGGGGTTGGGAGTTGGCTCTCCATTTTTTGGGAGTCGTTTAACTAACCCCCTAAATAAATAAATAATAAATAAATCTATGAAATTTGTAGTATTATTATTATTAGATGGGTGTGGGTGAGACTGCTGCCCTCCTTGTCTAGCTTGTGGGAGATTTACACTTATAAGAAAAATATTAGTGTTGTAGATTTCTAAAATTTATCTTAGTGAAGATTAGAGATGTTGCTTCATACCTGGGTACCTGCCTCAAAAATCCAATATTTTGGACACCCGCACCCGCACCCGCGGGTTTACATGGGCTTTGTGAATTGTGTCTCTCCAGCTGTTGAGAGTGTTGTACACTGTCTGAAGGACTGGAGGGATTCCTCTGGTCATCAAGACTGTACACTGTCTCAATGGCCAGAGGGATCCCTCCAGTCATTGAGACCATATACAGTCTTGATGGCCAGAGGGATCCCTCCAGTCATCGAGACCATATACAGTCTTGATGGCCAGAGGGATCCCTCCAGTCATCGAGACCATATACAGTCTTGATGGCTGGAGAGATTCCTCCGGTTGTCGAGACTTTACACTGTCTCAAAGGCCGGAGGGCTCCCTCCTCAACAGGCCCATGTAGGACACCAACTGGTGTCACCAGTTGGTGTCCTACATGGGTTCCTGACACACTTGTGCAGCCCAACACACACAAAAAAGCATTCCCAGGGCAAGTACCCAGGTACCCGCCGTTTTGTTTCCCAAATGATGAAACCCGCACCCAATTGTGGGTACCTGCTGACATCTCTATGCCAAAGCAGTGTTGATCTCCATTGGGGTGCCATCAGAAAGCTTAGAAGATGGTGAAGATTTTTGTTGATTGTCTTGACGATGATCCAATTGGTTTTGGTTATGGGAGTTTTGATGAGAGTTCTGACCGGCCAACTTGTTCTTTTAATTTTGCTTGTAAAACCCCACTCCACCCAAATCCTTAGCTAAGGTTGAGCCATCTCTTGCTTAAACTCCAGATTTGTCACACCCATCCAACCGCCTCAGAACATACCCAACTTCACAATCTCTGGGTTGATTGCTGCGTCATAAAACTCGCACTTGAATGCTTCAGTAATATCAACAGAGAAGTAAACATCAAAATCCTCAATAGTTTGAGAACCCTGGTGCACCGCTTTCAATGCCTTCCTGGTGTCCTCAACTTCATGATGGTTGGAGAACGTTGACTTGATCCCCAAAAGAAAATTCTTGGCTGATTGCAAGTATTTGTGATGGATCTATTATCAAATACAATACACAATCTTAAAATCTGTATCAATCAATACAGAACCATCTTCATTTCAGTGTTGCCACAGTTGATTCTCATTTTCATTTTCATCTTCATTTTAATAGGCCTTTTTTCATTTTTTCATTACATCTTTATAAATGTGGTTTTTTTCTTGGTTGGTTTTTGATTTCTCAGAGTGTCAGCATCTGTTTTTATTTGTCATTTTCATTTTTGTATGTAGCTTGGGTGGGTGTATGTATAGCTCTGACATCAATGGAAGGAGCTAGTGGTGCAGTCAAAAGCATGTTGAAGGGAGAATGCACAGTCAAGCTGACAAGGTTTGGACAATGTGTTGTACCAATCACTGTTTGGAAAGTTGGTTGTCAACTTGCCAGAAGCCACTGAGTTTAGCAAGTCAAAGGGACACTTATTTTTGGCTAGTTGTGTAGCATTGGCTCCACTGCACCCTCCAAACCCCTGCAAATTGCCAAATTTAGGTTGTGGGCCCCTGTTCAGACAGTCCGCTAAAGATGCTTGTACCTTACATGGAACTAGTGGCCAAGGTAAATGCTCTAAGCAGCACCCACATTGTGAGGCTTGACCTACTACACCGTACGCTAGTGGCTATGAAGTTTTACCAAGAGGAAAACTTGCCTATGCTTGGTGATAGTAAATAGAATTTAATAGTCTTTATGCAATTGCTATAAGACCAATGAATAGAATAAGTTTTTATAAAGGCATTAATTTGCTTGATAAAGTTTTGGGTAGATGATAAATGATAAACAAAGAACATATTGAAGAGGAAAGAGAGAGGAAAAAGGAAAAACAAAGTAAGAGAGATGATAAAATGAAAACAAAGATTGGAAGAACATCAATCATGAATCTTTCACAATTAATTGAAATGTTGTCATCAATAATAAGATCATCACGACAATTTGAAAAAAGATAAAGATCAAACCTGATTTGTTATGATGTCATAATAAATCAAGATATGTGCATAATACTACAAATCTTATCAAATCATTAGCTTCATTAATATCATTAATTATCAAAAACATACTGAAAAACATCACACTTGTCCTGAGTATGTTGGCTTACCAGGGTTGAGACTGAACCATGGTTGAGCCATCCCAGTTGCATCCCAGTCAATTGGATGATAGTAACACAGGCTGAGCCTGACCAGTCCCAATCACATTCATGAGCGAGCTTAACAAAGCCTCTCCAAGGAGGCACGAAGCGTCTCCGAAGGAGAGGCTTACCTCAAATGTTGCACTGTTGGGTTGACAGATACAAATTTTTCATGCGAAAAACCCCCAATTTTACTTTTATTATTTGTTTAACACTCAAGCATGCGGATTAAAAAAAAACTGAACATGCCATATTGTAGCCTTGCATCTCAGCTTCCATCTCATATTTTTTGGTTCCATGTCCCCCTCATAAATACCATTGATGCCCGCTTGTTCTTCGGTGATGCTTCACATATTGGCGAAGTCACAAAAATTTCATATTATTCTAGCTTTCGGATACCCGATCAACGGATTATAGAGCATCTCACGGGCTTTCCACCCAATGCATAGTATCCGTTGCTCAATACAAATAACTTGTATTGGCTTCGATAAGCTCTCACAGTGATTCACTGATGAAATCTGGGATAATCAATTTATTACGGAGAAAGTATGTTTTAACCAAACATGGGTTTATGCAACACTGGGAGGTTACGCTACCAGTAACGGTAGCGTAACGATAATGCAGCAAAACCAGGGCTGTTAGCGTTGCAATAATCGCAACGGCCTTTCTGTTACGTTTTACTTTTTAATTTTTCTTATTTTTTTTTTGTCGTTACGTTATCCACAGCGCAAAAAGGTGGATTAACAAATGAATAACTAGGTCAATAACGCAGATAACTTCTGATTTGCGTTATTGTTCTGGGTAACGAGGGGAGAAACCCCCTTCATTACGTTACTCATGACCCAAAAATCCATTCTGTCTGGATAACGCTAACGGCATTATCTGGACAGCTGGGAAGTTACGTTACGAAAATCCCTTCAGATATCGTAACGTATGTAACTTCCCAGTGTTGGTTTATGACCAGATTGGTCAGAATAAATATCCGGCCACATTGAGGACGGATTGCTTACAGAAACTTGCAGCAGAAATAACTTTACAAGATGATTCTTGCTGGGAGAGGGGGATATCAATATTTTTGAGGACAGTAAAAATTAGCTTAGAAGGCTGTGATTTTAATGGTGCCAAAGGCAGGATCAAAATCACAAGGCTACAGGGGCATAGTTGTGGATTTGGGGGAAGGGGAGATCTCTCCTGCCATTTGGCACAAGTCTGTAGAGCACGACTTGCCACTTTTGATGCAAGTCTGTAGAGCACGACTTGCCACTTTTGATGCAAGTCCCTCCTTCGGAGGTCGCTGCCGCGACCTCCTCGGAGGGACCTTGTGTTAAGTTCGATTCATGAGGGCCTTCTCCGTTCCGTGAGCTTTGGGTGGCTACTGGCCAGTCTACGACTGCGGGACCGCGCGGTCTCGAAAAAAAAAATGAACGGTGAGTTACCTACCCTATCATAGCAGCGCAGCAATGTTAAGTTTGGCGCGTACAATTCTGCTGACGTGAGCTTGAAAAGTGGGTCACACGCCACAAGTTTCAGGAATTCGGTGGTTTAGTCTTATGCACACGATGATGTACCGGTCCAAGCGGGAAAAAAAAATCCCTTGAAAATAGAAATTGACAGGAAATGGAAGAATAAAGTACACAAGCAAAGAGAAAAAGATAGGATCAATGATTCTTTAAACATGTGATGTAGGAAAGGAAGAAAGAATGATAGATAGGATAAATTATATGATAAATAAGAATGAAAGAGGAACGGTTCAACTATAGGTCTCTCGAATAAAAAAAAAGAAAAAGGATAACTTGAACCAGACGCTTAGACTAGGGAATAACATTAAGATACAAACATGGTCTTCTCAAACGGTACAGATGAATGAAGATCAAGCCCGACGAATTTGAACTCGAGAAAACAATGATCAACCGATGATCAAGAAAGAAACCAAACAAAAAAAAAGGTGGGGATTACATTGACAAAGACAAGAAGAATAGAGGGGAAGAGAATCAGAAGAAGAAGAAAACGAGAAACTTTCTATCTATCCCAAGTTACTCATTGAACTAGCTTTTTTAATAGCAAGGTCGACTCTGCCTGTGTGCGACCTCCTCCTTTTCTGCTCCAAGTGTTTGAGCTGACGCTGGAATGAATGATGAGTGAGTACTTCGAGTTTCCTAAGCTCTTTGAGCCAATTCTTCCAGTCCTTTTCGCCCACTAGATTGTTCGAGCCCGACGAGCCGGTGGTGCCCCAGACGATGGGTGATGAGTGGGAGACCGAAAAGCTACTCAGATAGACCGAGTGCTCATGAGCTCGACTCATCTCTTCCTTTGCTGCACTTGGAGATATCCTTTTGTTTATCTCTGATCGTGGAATTCCACCAAGTGGCTTTAGGTTTACCTTGACCAGCTCATCAAAGTCATCTGTATGTAGGAGGATCAGGGAGGATAAACATTAACGAGAGTCTTCGGTTGATGTCATTTGAAAGAAGATTACTGACCCAACTGGCCTCCCAAGTCCTCAACGCAGGTCAGCCTGCTTAACCCAATACCCTCGAGGACCCGGAAGCGATTGAGATCTTCGGGTTTGCGCGAGCTGGTCCTCCAGTTCTTCTTGGGAGGGGCTTCGCGCATGCATAGGATGAGCATGTCAGACAGAAGGATCACCTCGACGGCCTCGCTTGGAATTGCACGCCCCTTCCTGAGCTTGTGGCTACTCCGCTTGGACTGCAATGAGCGAGGTGGTTTGAGCTTGATTGGGTTGAGATCAGGGCCTCCGGGGGGGTCGAATCGAGGCGCACTCTGGGAGCTGCATCCAGAGGTTGACCTGGGTTGGTGGCATATTTCTGAGGCCAGAGGCTGAGGGGAACTCGTCGCATCAAAAGTTGTGTCGGTATTCATCGATCGGAAACTGGACTGAGAGTGGGTCGTTTCGCTCGTCTCGCTGGAATCGGAAACCGGCGAGAGTGGCCTGCTAAGCCCGTTCGCAAAGAGTTTGCTGTTGAAATCGCCGTGCAATCCGAGACTGGGAAGATGAGAAGAACTCGACATCCTTCTGCGTGTCGGGGCCATTTCACCGAATGTCTCACTTTCTGGATCGGGAGGAGCGATTGATAACTTGAGGATGTCTTTATGAGATGGAAAGACCATCTGAAGTGTACCTCGGATCACAATCTTCCTCCTCCGGTTGGCAAGAACTAACCCATCAGGTAAGCCCAACAATTGTTCTTCTAATCCTTTAAGTGCCTCGTGGTCATCTTCGAGGCCTTTAACATCCTGCATTGATCGGATGATCCCATCTGTTGCCTTCCATAGGTTGGAAGTAGACTGATGATCGGGATGACCTAGGGGTGTGGTCTCACATAGTTGCTGGTGAAATAAATATAGGATTAGTTCAGATTGGGATCCACTTTCGAGGGTATCAACCAAAAAGTTAACTCACTCGGAAAAACAAAGGATATTTCATCAAACGCTGGATGGGCTTGAGCAGATAGCTTGTCAAAGTCATGGCACCGAAGCCGGCAGCATGACTTTGCATCCTAACGAACGAACCAAAGTGATCGGCTGGATCGAGTGCCAGACGATCTATTAATTGAGAGACACGCTCGAAGCAGACCAAGTAGCGCTCGTATATCCTGAGTCGGGGCACGAAGCCGGCCATCATGTCCGCAAACTTCATGACCACTGGGGCTTTGTTAAGCTTCTTTTCACACATCCGGTTGTAACTCATTCCCATGACAATCTCCGAGTGGAAGTTCGCAATCTGATCCAGGTCACCAAACAGTTTTTGGACCGGTTCGGGGACGCCAACCACCCAAGTTCCATACTGTCCTTCTTCCCTCAACGGGCTGATGAAGAGATCCAATACCACAGCAATGCTGTCAAGAAAGGCGGTTTCGGTCTGACAAAGCTCCCAAATCAACTGTTGTCTATGAATCTCAGTTGGGCCCCATGTCTCGAAGATGTGTCGATATTCGCGATCGGAGAGCGTAGTCCTCCAGTTGATAATAGCCATGGGTAGCGCGTTGGATTTCTGACAAGAGCGAATTATCTGTGGTGCACCAAGGGCGGTAGATGACAGTTGGCGCGAGGGCAATTCGGAGGGGGCTGGCGACCACAGAGCAGTTGAAGACCGGGGCTTATCGTCTGACGGTGATAATGAAATTTTAGCCTTGGAAGAGGTTACGGGGGGATATTTGATAGCGGGAGAAGGAGCTAGCAGCTGAGCGAGCCGACTGAGCTGAGTTCGCACCGACTTGAGAGGAGGTGAATTGCCGCCAGTCAAACTAATGGATTTGCTGGCGGATTCTCCGTGTGATGAAACGGTGGTAGTTGGGACGATGCCTAATGCCGATGTGGATAAACCTGCACGCCGAGGCATCACATGCGTCGGCCGTTTACCCATCACACTTGTACTTCGAGTACCGCTGAGGCTTGTCTTGCGATACTGTTCAGCCATAAATGGCTGGGAAGACGAGGAGCGCAAGGGAAGAGCGGGATCACCAGGCACAACACGTTGATCGAGAAGTGATTCGATCTCGTGATCAGCACCTGACATGCTGAGGGAGGGAGAGGTAAAATTCTGAAAGTTTTCACAAGTGGCGCTATAGCGAACAGAACGATAACAGCTAGCAATTTCGGATGATTGATCCAATTCCGCAGACTCAGTCTGGGAGGATGGCACTGAGCTCGAGCACACGGCAGGAGTACTAGAGGGGTGCTTGTTTGAAGATAAGAGGGAGGAAGACCAGGATTGAGAAACCGAACGGCGGGCGGTTTTTTGAATCTTTGACTTTACAAAATTCGAGAACTTGGTGGGGGGCAAGGTAACGGGATTCTGGGAAGGGAAGGGGACCAGCTCAGGAGGGCATGGATGATAATCATGAAAATCAGGCTGGTCAGAGGAGAAGCTGGCGAGAGGGGCCTGTTGATAAGATGAGCAGTTGTCCAAGTTTGGTGAGGTGAGTGGGGTGAGTGAGCGAGACTGAGGATTGCTGAAGTGATGGTGAGTAGGATGACGAGACTGGTATCCAGTTATCTGTTTGGTAAAATGAAGCGATTGAGAACTCCTTAAAGGAGTCGAAAAGCTAGTAGATCGACTCGACGGAGGGTATTGAGGGGAAATGGATGTAGCTACCTCGTTTGCTAGAGAAGAGCACGAGGAGGAGGATGAGGAGGATGAGGAGGATGCAGAGGAGATGGATGAGAAGAGATTCGCCGGAGGTGGAAGAGGAGCCGGGAGAGGAGGGCGGCGATTGGTGGATTGATTGGCGCGATGCCTGATGGAATGGTTGGAGCGAGCCTTCTTCAGCTGAGGGGCAATGCCACGTCCAGAGCCAGAAGTCGAAGGAATGGGACGACGAGTAAATTTGGCAGATACCGAGGAGCCATATGAGCCGGGCAGCTCGCGGTTGCCCGCTCCAGCCGAGTCGGAAGTCTCATCATCATCAACATCATCCAAACTTTTAAAGATCTCGGCAGTGGTACTACCGTTCTGATCCAAAGCAGGGGAGGAAGTAAAGGAAGGCAGGGTTGACCTGGAGGACGGCTGACGGCTGTGAAGAGGGCGGATGGTATCAAAGTTGGTGTCGCAAAAATTCCGCTGTTGATCCGAGTCGAACGAGCCAGCAGCGCCGATCAGGGTGAGGCCCAAGCCAGAGGCAAGCACTAGTCTGGGCTGGCCCTCAGTTCGACGACCATGCCGATGATGTTGGTGGTGACGAGAATGCAGGTTGCGGGCAAAGGCTCGATTGTGGAGAGCGGGCTGCAGGGTTACCTGGTTTGAATAGCTGAGATCTGGCGGGTGGAAAGATTGAGAAGAATGTTTTTACAAAAAAGAAAGAGCTTGTCAGCGACTCAGTCAACCAGGATAAGAAGGGGGACGCCTGATACGAGCTCTGCTTCTCAACTCGTCCATCGGGACAAAGCAATCAGGCTGACTCTCTTTCGATCTAATGCCAATCATACTCAGGCTGGCTCTCAGACCAACAGAGATGTCGAGCCCATAGGGGAAAACAAGCCGATCAGGAGGAAAGATAAACTGACCATGGTTGAGGATAGCCCGAACTAATGAGCCGGGGAATAATCTTGTGGACATTATTGTAGGACGTGTGTAGAGGAGGATTAATGGCGATTCTACGATGCAATCCCAATTAGTGAGAAGGAGGGATGTGATGCTGGTGAGGAGTGGGATAAATTCAAGTGAGTAAACAGGAGTGGGAATCGCGGGAACCACGCTGCCAGCTGGGAAGCAATGGGCTCAAGCGGAGAATCCTAGAATGAAATACTGTGAGAAAAAAAAAACTTACTTGCCACTGGCCCTTATGACCTTCAGCTGATTGATGGTCACTAATAAATGCTGATTATCAAAAGCGAGTAGGTTATGAAGCGCCCAGAGGTTAAAGGATTCGTTGAGTGTTCATCTAACAGGGTTCTCAGTGACTGTTATGCTATGTTCGGAAGCAGACAGGAGATTGTCCGAGTAATGGCTGTCTTCAGCTGGGTCGTGGAATGGTTGAAGTAGCCAAGAGGATGATCGGTGTAGAAATATTCTCGGAATAAAATCCTCTCAAAAGAAAAAGCAGATAGACTTCAAGCCTAAAGAATCGTCAGGCCGCAGTGATTTAGAGCTTGAGCGGGGATATTCTAGTAGATCTCTGCTGGCCTACCAGAAAGGATAAATGTCAATGTTTGAGATGGTCGGAGTGATGATGATGAGCGTGTATGCCGGTTGATTAAGAAGCAGCAGTCCGACAGAGTTGTAGATCTTAAGTGTTTCAAAGAAACAGAATTTGTGGAAGCTCTCGTAAAGAAAATTCGTAATATCCGACCCGCGAGATGGTAAAGAGGAAAAGAAAAGGTGGAGGAAGCAAGAGGGATGGGCTAGGTAACAGGTGTTAGGAAAGCACACCCTAGATTAAGAGAGAAGATCTATAGTAGCTAAAGAGCGTTACAATAAGAGTTTGGGAGGGGGGGGGGGAGGAGGAGGCCGAGGACGATGTGTCAATTGGATGTTAACCAGAACTCCAAACTCTAACAACTGGGTATTGAAATGTGTAGATGGATACGATGGGTTGCAAACAAGATACCCTTTGGCAACTTTGAGGAAAAAAGCACTTGCTAGGGTCTTCTCTGTGTGAATCACAGCCGAGGGCAATTGTTGATCTGAGACTACAAGGCCGATTTCGGGTGATGGATGAGGATGGTAATTTGCTTTCTGGGGGTGGTTTGGGTAGTCGATGCTGGCGAAAGCAGTCGATTGAGGGGGGGTGATTGATGTCCTGCTGGGTTTGAGTTTGGCAGTGAAGGATCTATGTAAGTGGGACTAGTGAAGTATGATTGCCAATGGCATCGACAGCTTATCAGCAAGTTTCTAAATCTGGAACCCGTTACGGGGCTAGAAGAATTATGTGTATGGTCAACTGCCTACATGCGATGCACTAAAACCCACCCCAATGGGCCTGGATGGAACCGGGAGAATTTAGTGAGAGAGCAGGCGATCTTCAACAGTTGGGTGGGCAGTAGATGATAAGTTTTCCTGGTTACTCAGAGAAAGAGTGAGATGATCGGGTGGCTCAGCAGGCGGTGGGGGAAGAAGAAGAAAGACAGCAAGGATGGACTGAAGTTGTCGGGAAGCTTAGTTGAGAAGCGTTGACCGTGCATGTAGGGGGGAGGGGGGATATGTAATCCGAATCACTTGGGGAGCATACATCCAGCTGGAAAAACTTTTCTGGTGAATTGATTGCAGCAATCGATTGGCGAGCCTAAGCGACTCGAAAAAAAAAAAAAAACTGCCCGATTCACAACCAATCTCAAAGGGAGAGAAAAAAGCCATACAGTGTGAGAGCATTCTTCTCAGTTCGCGTGTGTGCAGAGGGCAGGCCATATCCAAAAAAAACCCAAGACGGCCCCCCGCTGAAAGACCGAAAGTGCGCTGGCGTGGATGTTTTGGGCTGCTAGGCTGCTCGAAAATCTAATTCGTTCTCACACTTTACCAATCATAGCCTCTCATGCTATCCAGTTGGGGGGCCTTACATGTAAGCCCAACCATTCAAAACGTCGTCAGCAATTACTGTATGCAGCGTGTGGGTACGGATACATGGTGTATGCGCT